ATTTGGGACATGATCTTTAATTTTTTCTATTCTGCTTTTCATTGTTCAGCATAAAATTAAACCCAAAGTAGGTAATTAAAAGTATTTGTTTTTCATTAACTGAGTTTCAAGAAACATTATGTGAAACAAATTGAGATAATGAACACTGTACATGTTCGAGATATGTGTATCTTGAGTTTGAGGCCAGCCTGGTCTACAGAGCAAGTTCCAGGACAGCCTCCAAAGCAATACAGAGAAACTCTGTCTCGGAAAAAAAAAAGATATGTGTATCTTAACAGGTGTGCTGTTCCTATGCCATGTGTCTCTACTGATGAAACAAGAACAGAAAGAAGAGTAATTAACTACTTGACCTTCATGAAAACTGGGAAAACTTTCTAAAGAAAATGGAACAATAATATTTGGGTCACGTCTTAGAGTCTAACAATGTATGCTCCAATTCATTGTTTAGAAAAGCAGAAGCTCTCTAAAAAAATCACAAGAAACAAATATTAAAAGTATATGAAATTGTGAAAAAGCACCAGTATATCAAGAACTAGAAAATCAGACATAGGAACTACAGAAAGCAAACAAGAAAAAAACAAAATTCAAGACAAAAAAAAAAGCATGTACAATAACAGTAACTTCTGTCCCAATGAAAAGTTTTAAATTTAATGATAAAGTTAGACTTAATCCATAGCCTAGAACCAAGAAAACTTTGATGATCAAGGATAAAATGTCTGTATATTGGGCTGAAATCGTGAAAAAGTTACTAAAATAGCAGTTAGAATGAACTTCATGGGAGCACGAAATGGAAGCAGAAGAATGACATATATTTACATATGCCTTGACTCATTGCTTCATTGATCACTTTTATCTTCCTAGACCTTTGCACACAACTATTGAACTACTGGAAATATTTGCTAAATAATAAAGTGCTGAGACTATTTACTGAAGGTCTATCATGTGTCAATTGTATGATATCTAGCTACAATCTCCTCCTATATTTTGCATTTCAGTTGGAAAGGTGATCCAAACGTGTATATGGGAAGTTCCATGTCAACACAAGGTAGGAAGAGCCAAAGAATAAAAGCATGCCTTCAAGAATAAGAGATCACTTGAAACTTCCTGTTCAAAAGACTATACAAATAAAGACTATTGCAATATCCCTTTAAGATAAGTGTGGTAGGGTGAGATTTGCAGAGAGCCTAGAGAAAGACATTCAAGCAGAAATATGCTAGCCAAAAAAAAAAAAAAAAACCATGGGATTAAGACAAAAAGGTACTTTAGGAAGGTCTGAATAATCAAGGAAGGCCATATAAAAGGTACACAGAAGTATAGGGTAGGAAAAGCAGAAACTAATGTGAAAGGCCTTAAACACCATCTTGAAGAGTTTTAAAAGCTTATATAAGCAATGCACAAATAATCAAGGCTTTTTGGCAAAAAATTAAAAATGTAACATGATAAACATAAAATTTTAGACATTTAGCTTTTAATGTGCATAACAAATGGCGCACATCTTCATTTCAGATATGGTTATAGCCATACAAAGAGGGTCATTCAAATAAAGAACACTAAAGACATAATGAAGAGGGGCAGGCTAGAACAAAAGAGACATAAGAAAAAATATTCACCCAGTATGTTGTGGGGAACAAGTAAAAGGCATAACACAGAAGACAGAGAGTTAGGCAAAAGTGAGACTCACAGGGTTTTTAAAAAATCAGTCTTACTCCTCCATCATTACTATGCTTACGTGAAATCCAAATTGTCCCAGCACAAAGTTCAAAACAGTGCAATTGTTCTACTGTGCTCAGGAAGTATTTGAAAAATAGAAGCCACATGACTTATTAATTGCATTATTAATTCAAGAGAAAAATTCACAACAGAGTAGCAACATTAGTGAATTAACTAGGAAAATATGGGTTTTGCCCAAGCAGGAGCTACATTTCATTTTAATGTTGGTATATCATAAAACTAGAGGTCAATCTCTTCCATAGTCATCATACACACAAAAAAAAAAAGCTTCTTTGGTGTCTCACTTCCCCATTAAATTGTCCCAATATCCTTTCCATTCTCTCAGAGATTCCTTAAGCCAAACTCCTTCTTCCACACTGACTTCAACCTTTTTGAATCTTAATCACTACTCACTACCGCTTTATAGCATCAAATGTAAATGTAAGAGACTTTAGCCTTCTTATAGCGCCTTGCCATCAACAAAATATTTACCAATTACTTGTTATAGTCCTCACAGGAAAAAATGCAGAGCAGGTATCATCGTCATCCACATAATTGAGAAGTGAGCCCTAGACCCCACAGGCATAAATGTTAGATCCAAGCCTACAGTGTGAGCTTTCTAAGCCCAAGTTCCGTATTTTCTTCACTATATCATCAGTTTTCATACTGCATTTGTGAATTCATTGTTATTCAATATTAGTTTAAGTGAATATTTTTCAAGTAGTAGTATTTTTATTTATGTTTTGCACAGATTTTTATTTTAGTTACAAATATTGAGCCCATCTTTCTCCCATAGACAGGTCATCTGTTCTTCTGACTGGTGTGGCCTGCACCTCAAGTGAATATATTTTAATAAGGTGCCTTGATGGCCAAGTATGTAATGCAGAACCATTTACTAAAAGAATTATTTTGAGATGTATGTGATGAGTACAATTATCATTGGATGACAAGTGACAAGGAACATTAGTTAAATTGTTATTATACCAAAAACATTAAATTTTGTAATGTAACATTTAACAATAAAGACAATACAGATGATTTAAGGATATGTGAGAATCAAAAGGTAAGAATAGGGCATTCCTACTCTCTTTAACTCTGGTAAGGCCTCAACTGCTGATATAGTTCATAGCATCCTATTACCAGGGAGACATAAATAAGAAGGAGTTCAGCTAGGAGCAATAAAACAGATTAGGGTCTGGAAGGGTTGACTTTAAAGAAAGTTTTAAAAGAATTAATTCCAGGTAGTCTGAGGGGTTGATGCCTACACCAAAGACAAGTTACTTTGAAGGTATGCATCTTTAAACATATACACATATCACTGTAAATATCTGAAGAATATTTAGAAAAGGAAAGTTCAGGAGAAATTTGCAGGCAAAAAAAAGAAAAAGAAAAACTAAAGGTAGGAGAACTCTCTCCTTCAGGCAAGAAAACTGTTTTCACATATGTTCAATACCAGGTTGGGTAAGGAGAGAAGTTCACCTGGGATGATCCTGTATTGACTCTGAAGTAGTGGAAGGACTGAACTTGAGCAGACTTTTCTAGTCTTGTGGTTTGAGGGCTGTTTTGTGTGGTTTTTAATTCTGCAAATTTTACAGACACAACTGTCTGCCAATTCCTTTTGTTCTCATGATGCTCACTTTCTCCTTTTATAAAGGTAAGTAAACATCATTCTTCACTTTAAGCAGAATTCACTACACTCAATGAAGGGTTGGCAGAATTTTAAATGCAAGGTTTGAAAAAAAAAAGTCGATTTCTAAAACATACAGGTTTTTTTCTCCTCCCAGCAATTTCTGGAGGTCTTGCAAGTTGTTTCCATAAACTTAGGAGGAAGTATAATTGATGAATTTGAACAAAACCTATCTCCTCAGGAAAATCACTAGTATATCCTGTCTGATGCCAGAGCTGGCAATGACCTGAGGACAATGAAGCCCTGGGCCACAATAGCCACCAGAGGTGGCGCCCGATGGTCTTTGCCTGTCAGGGCTACATGCGAATGACAGCAGAATCTACATGCAGTTCCCATGTTTCATAGCAGTGATTTTCACCTGTGTAAAGATGAGTTAGTAAACACCTTCACTCTTGGACAACTATTTCAAAAGAGTAGGCAAATCTTAGTAATGCTTCAAATTCAACAAACTGTACTTTATCTACACACACACACACACACACACACACACACACACACACACGTTCATCAGCTACTCTACCCTTGAAATAGATCCTAGTACCCTTTCCTCCAAAAGTCTCACTCAGTGGAGACCTGAAATTCCCAAAGATATCTCCTTGTTCGGGTGATTTATAAGAATAAGTTGTAACAAAATCCCAAGGACTCTGAAAACCTGTGCCCAGTTCCTTAAAATAACAATAATAATACTGTGAGAAGGAACAGCAGGAGAGAGATGGAGCCCTCAAAAACGAGACACTAACCCTCCTCTACCAACTTTAAGAGCATGGGTGGCTGAAGATGTTACAACTGCCACCTATTTCTGGTCATGCTGCAAAGTTCATAGATACTAGCACCAAACCTTTGCAGAATGCTTTTAAATATCATTTTCATTCATTTGTAACAAAAGCAAAATTGTTCAAATTTAAAATGACTGACCTCTCACACAGGAATAGAATTTGGAGCCTTGCGATACTTAACTCATGTGATTCTGGCTGTAAAGAAAGCTGACACACAGATTGGACAGTCCAAAAAAGGGAGAAACCTTCCTCACATTGGAACAATCTAAGAGGAATTATTCCATTAAATTTTAGAGTGGGCTTCAAAAAAAGTTAAATCTCTATCTCCACTTCCAGGAAAACAAGAAATAAGACAAATTCCTAGAATTTTAGGAATGAAGTGTGCCTGGCTCTTCAATAATCTGGGAACCTGGATGAATTTTCTCAAAAACAAACAAACACACATAGACATACATACGCTCATGCATCAGCACTAGCTCAAAGAAGTGTGGCCTATAGGTTCCAGGACTGTGGAAACTCTACTGCACAGCACAGAAGGCAGACACACACAGGATTTGCACAACCTGGAGAGTTCTCTTTACACTGCCACCCTAGGAGTCTCACAGTCTTAGTGAACCCTAGCCTGCTGCTGTAGTTTTTCAGGGAAGCTTCAGTCTCTGTTCCAAGTCTGCCCCTACACACACACACACAGACACACACACACACACACACAGACACACACAGACACACACACACAGACATAGACACACACACACACACACACAGCTGAGTGCTTGTTCCCACCCCCAATTTCCTCCAACACTCAAAATCGGGACCAAATTTCTCACCATCCTCATAGTTTTTGAGATAGTAATCCGGGCCCGGGCCCCCGCGGCTTTTCGCCGGATTTCTCAGGTTCTGGAACTGCAGGAAATCCGTCCTTTTGCCCCCGAAGCGCAGAAAGGCGGGCGAGAGTCCCCGGGCCAGGGTCACCAGACGCTTGGAGCTGCAGGGGTAGAGAAAGAGAGAGAGGAAAGGATCCCGGGAGAAGGCTAGAGCGCAGTGGTCAGGGAGCAAGGCCCCTTCTCACTCCCTGCAGGAGACCCGGCGGGAGATTTATTATCTAAGCCCGCTGCAGCTTGCAGTCCGAGGAGACAGCGGACTGCTCTGCCGAGGCTCTGGTGAGCCGGCTCTGCTGCCCGCTTTCCCCTCAGCCTCAAGATTCCCTGGGGCTGTTCTTCCTGACCCCGGCCGGCCCCAGCTGCACCTCCCACCGACACCTGGATGCCTTGAGAACTGATTTCTAAAGGACTGGAGAAGTGTTTGCTCCGCGTGTTGGGGTAGGGGCATTTGTGCGGCGAACTTGGGGCCAAGGCGCAACTGGCTGGCTTCTGCCACTACTACTAGGAAAGCGCTCCTGGCACAGACGCACCAGGAGCGGACCGCCAGCCCGACTGTTGCCAAACTTCCAAACTCAAGTCCGCGTTGCCTCTCTGGCCCCAGGGGCAAAGTAACCTCCAAGATGGTGAAACTTGGCCTACTTTCTCTAAATCCAGGCACAGAACCTAAGGTTAAGAGGATTTTTTTAATGCCCAAACTGATTTTCCTCATATTGTAATTGAGTAGCCTTCAGGCAGGCCGAGAGGTTCCCAGGATAAATCTTTGACTTTCAGAGGACGCTCCCCACCCCCCGCCGCGCAAAAAAAAAAAAAAAAAAGTCCCACAGTAAAAACCTGTGTCTTTTAGGCACTTAAATTAATTCAACCTGGCTCCATCCCTCCCGACACACACACACACAAACCACTCCTGGCCTCAACTGGGTTCTATCTTTCTTTTTCCTTGCCACTTGAAGCGGTTTGGAGTAAAAAAGAGTTTTTAAAAAGTTTGGCGAATTTTGGGACTTAAAGCGTTGGGGAAATTCTGATTACCAGAACAATAGCATAAGTTCAGGATTTCCATCCACAGATTTTAAAAGCCAAAAACTGCTACTCTGGGAAGGAATGGGGAACCAGCCCTGCGGATGCTGTTGATGCTGAGGCAATCAGCTGTTTAGTTCCGGGTCTATACATTATTTTTAACGCTTTGCTGGTTCGGGGTCTGAGAATCCAGATCAAAATGGAGACCTTAAGGAATATCATAAAGGATATGGATTCAAAGGGCACAGAAATTAACGGAAATTCCACTTTCAGATACTTGTGGGGAAGATACATGTCTATCTACCCTGAGAGTTTCGATGGCCCCGAAAATTTGCCTGGATTCTCCAGGTCCGAGTTCCAGGGCGGACACAGTTTAGGCGTCGCGTGGGCCGGCTGAGCGCAGAAGGGACGTCCGCGCGAGTGTGGCCCCAGGGAAACACAGCATTTCCAATCTTCCGGATAAAGCCTGCACAGCCAATGCAAATGCTCCCCGCCAAGGCTTCTTCCCCCAAAAAGCTGCCTTCCAGAATTTTTCTGCAGCACGCAAATATTTAGCGCGAACAAGCTGACTTTTTTTTAAGGAGGAGGAGGAAGAAGAAACTCGGAGTCCGCGCAGCTGGAGCAGTGCAGTGTAAGTGGGGCGTGCATTTAGGAAAGCCCCTGTTGCACCCCGCATTTGGATGAATTCAGAGAAGCGTTCCGCTGCACAGAAAAGCTTTCAAGGATGAAACTCGGTCGTGCAGTGCTGTTTCCGCCCTCCCAACAACTGTACCCTCTGGAACCCCGAAACGGCGTCCGCATTGGCGGCGGCGACCTCCGGGTCTTTGGGCTACTGCTACCGGACCTGGTAGGAGCGCTCAGAGCAGCGCCCACAACTACCTGCTGCGTCTACAGACTGCAGGCTGAGCGCTAAGGGGCGGGTGCACCCGGAAAAGCAAAACTCGAATTTCTCGATGAGTGAAAAATGCTCACTAAAGATGTATGTCGGACGCAGCCTCGGATCTGGAATGAGATGGAGAGCACTCACGGCTCTAACTTGGAGGGAATTTTCAAACACTTAACACTTGGAGATTCGATATTGCAGAAGTTTTTCCTCCCTTTTTCTTTTGTATTTTTCTCTTTTTATCTCCAACACACCCTTCTCCCTGCAACTGTCCCTGATGGGAAGAGGTCGCGGTTGCTCAGCTGCCAGAACAGAAACAACTGGGGAAGAGGGTGAACCCAGTTAGATTGCCAGGGAATCTCAACCTCCAGGTTTGCAAACCCACCACTGCCGGGTTCAGGTTCAAAATCCCCAACGCTTCCCCTGAGAGTGTCTAGGACCTTTATGGATCGCGTATGATATACACTACGACCCGAGCAACGATTTTTCCCCCACTGAAAAGAAAAACTAAGCTATGCAGTTACCAAGGAAAACTCAAAGAGGAGGGCGGAGGGGGAAGGGCTCCATCTATAAAAAGTGTCTTACAAAGTCCTCAAGTCTGGTAATGACAGCGGAGGATACAAAATAAAAAAAATAACTCCAATCCAACTTGCTCACCGCTCAAGACTCTCCTTAAATTCGTTTTCTGTCTAGGAGTGACAACTGATGAGACCATCTTTCCGTGGCAAATTCCACGTCCATGCAACCCAGTTGAACGTTCAGACACACGCACAGGGCTTTCTCTCTCACACACAGCCACTCCTCTGGAGTCTTTGTTGTTCCAGATCTTCCCTTTGGTAACTTCCCTGAACCTCTTGTTTCTTTTTCAGAAGGGGAGGCTAATTGTGGATATATGTAAGCACAACATTTTTTCAGTCATAACTGATAAGTTTCTGAAATGCCTTCTGCATTGCAAACATGTGCATCTTAATAGAAAACATTGCTTTTCTCAATCACTAGTTACAGCCTCACAGCAAATATTCCAGGAGGGGGAAACCTCCTTTTTCTCTCTTTGAAAGGCAGATCGGCTAGCTGCTGCTGCTGGGCTGCTTCTGCTGCTGCTGCTGCTGCTTCTGCTGGTGTTGCACCTCCTCCTCCTCCTCCTCTTCTCCTCCTCCTCCACCTCCTTATGCTTCTTCGTCCTCTTTTTCTTCCCCCTTTGGAGCAGGGGATAGGAAGAGAATGGGGGTGGGGGTACTTAAATTTTTAAATGATCCATTGAAGCCCCTGCCTTACCTTAAGAAATCCAGCCAGCCATCATGAATGATGGAGGGATCCAGCTGCAGAGAGAGGAAGTTCTCATTGACTGTCCTGACTGGGTTCTTGGTGCTCACATCAAGTAGAATCAGGGTCTTTTCCTTCAGACCTGCAGCTCTGTCTACAGGCAAGGTTCTCCTGTCTCCAGCTTGGAAGGAGAGGGAGAGATGGAGCAACAGAGCCAAGAAGAGGGCCACCAGGGCTAGGCACGAGGGGGGACAGGAGCTGCTGGAGGACATGGCTTCAGGGAAAGCACAGAGCACCCTCATTAAATCCCTCTGATTTAAACTCTCTCCCCACTGGGTCTCGATGGTGACTAATTGTCCTTATCTAAAGTGTGTGTCTATCTGCCCCCTCCTCTCCCCCCCCTATTCTCTTTCGCTCTAGCTCGCTCGATCTTGCTTGCTTGCTCGCATTTTTTTTTCAGTGTTTTGGTGCTGGTGGAGCGAACTCACGCCCCTAGCCAGCCTTCTCAGCAACTCGTGCCAAGAGTACTGTTCACCAGCACCGCCCCTTTAAGAGATTTCACTGCAGACATTTTTTAACTTTTTAAAGGTAAGAAGTGGGGGAGGGGGAAGGGGGAGGGGTGGTCGTTGTGCCCTACTGATTTAACCCTCTAGGGTCAGGAAGCGGCCAGTGGGATTGAAACAGTACTGTGGTACCATCTTGGGTTATAACTATCGTCTTGTTTTCACTTCCCCTCCCCAGGAGGCTCTAGGGAGGGTGCTTCACCGCCTCAGTGTCAGTCTGTCCTGACTACCTCTGTTATATTGTCCACTCTGTGCCTTCCTTTTGGGGTTGAAGTAGTAAATGTAAGGGTTATTAGTTGTAAAGCATCTGGTGGTGGTGACTATAATTTTTGCCAAGGCACAGAGAGCAAAAGAGAGTCCGTGCCTAGGTGTGCAGACCTCTGAGCCTCACAAAACAGACATAGACAAACATTTCTCCTCAAAAGGGGAATGGGAGACCAAGGTGAGGGAGAGAAGACAGAATGCCCAGGTCAAAGGCATTCTAACCAAAAGAGTCAAAACGAATCAGTATGCTCCATAGCCCTGCTATTACATGTGAGATGTCTTGAGCTTTCCATATGTTGCTGGCTTTGGCAAGGTCAAGCAACCTACAGCACTGCACTTGGATAGTCAAGGCACTCCCTCTGTGTACATTTGAGCCACTCCTTGGTCAATGCATTACATTGCAAACCTAAAGATGCCCCTCCAATGTCTCCTTGCCAACAACCCTCACTAGTCCCCCTGCAGGTGAGTGTGCCTTTCTGAGGAAGGAAGGTGCTATAGGGCTTTCAAACCCAGCCCCTGGTCAAAATTAGTGTCCCTGCTTGTAACTTCTGGACACAGATCAGCCTGGGCTTCCAGATGCACTACAAGCCTCTGCCCTTTGAATCCCCACCCTCAACAGTCAGCCACACCCCTGGTCCCACTTGCAGCTTCTTTCTGGGATATAACAAGCCCTCTATTTGACAGATGAAGAGAACTATTTTATGAAAAATGGGCACATAGGAGCATCCCACAGCATTCTTGGATAAAACAAGACTAGATGACAATTGAATGCAGAACATAGGTCCATCCCCCCCCTCCTTCCTGCCCAACCCCCGCTTTCCACCCCTCCCTCCACCCTCTCCCACTCCACCCCCCCACCCAGAGTGGATGCACAGTGGGCATTGTCAAAGCTCAGTAAACACTATAATAACCTACTTTCCTGCCTTCAACCAGAAGGGATTAACCAATCTGGATAGAACTGGACTGGATCACCTTCAGCTAACATTCCCTGAAGATTCTCTGCTAATCTAAGCAACCAGAAAATGTGGGGTTATGCTACATTGAACTGGGAAGTGCTATGAGAACCCTCTAAAGGTATGACCAAATAGAATGAAGCTAACAGAGAAACCCCAGACCAGATCGATCATGTAGAAACTACATGATAACATGAATTAAATGCTGGCTCTAGCCTTAACACCTGCTTCCTTCAATTTTCCAATACCCTTATATCCTTAAAGATATGCTTATGCTCCTGAGGTTAGGATGAAACAACCATAAGTTCCAGTACAAACTACTGTAATTTTGAAGAGTACTGACATCTCTTGGAAATGGTGATCAAAGACTTTCCTTTATCTCCAGACTCTTGAGTCAGTACTCAAAAAATAGCTAGGACATACAATAATAGTAAATCAAACCGGCCCAACACACTGAGATCATATGCTGCTCTCAAGAACAATTTTATTTGTCACAGCAATTGTATTTTGAGGATCTGTTCACTGATTTGTTTTCATAGTTATTAACATATCCCTGGCCATCTCCTTCAGGGCATACTTATTTTCAGAAGCTGTTAGTTCATTTCCTATATTCAGAATTAAACTATATCTTCTTAGCAGAAAGTTAAATTTTCCAAAGACCAAAACACCCTTGACTTATAAGTAAATGAATTGTGGAAGCTAAATTAACTAAGACCATTGGAAAACCATTTCAATGAAATAAACCACTTAGCCATTATATTCTAAAATTAATATATCTTTCAAAGGTATTCATTCAACCAAGATATATTGAATATATTGAGAATCTGCTAAATTGTGAGTTTTTACAATTTTATTGATTGCTGTTATGTAAAACTTTGGTTGCCTGGTTACTTTAACTAGTATCTAATGTTTACATAAAACCTGTATGTGGTAGTAAAATCAAAACCAACATAACAAACTTACTTAATTACTGATGAACACCGTTTGTTTCTAGCCTACCTGCTGAATTCAATAGTTTTATCCAACCTAAGGACATCAGGGGAAAGAAATCAATTTGTTAGCATTTTAAAGAGTTCCAGATAGCATTAGTTTGTTCCATGGAGATCTGATTTGGAGGCCTCTGATCTATCTTGGTTCAACTTTCAGAGCTAATCTTTGTATATAATCTCTCTTGCTATCATGGGTTTTGACTTCCCTCTCATTTGCCCCTAAACTACATGCTGTGGATTGTTCTTTACTAATCTATATATTATGCTGATGCTTCTGGCATATTTTCCCTGTGCTGGGTGACAACAATATCCATGTTGTTTCTGTCTCAGATTACAGTTCCCTACAGAATAACAACTGAACCTCTGTCCAAAACTATCAACTACTGGAAACTAATGCACTGATTTCCATCCTACTTTCATTTCTGTTGCAGTGACAACATACCTGGACAAAAAGCATCTTGTGGATTTAAAGGTTTGTTTTAGTTCATAACTCCAACTTTACAGTCCATCAAGACACCCAGTCATACCACATCCACTGTCAAGAGCAGAAGGAGAAGGAATGGATATAAGATTATTGCTAAGTTTGCTTTCTCCTCTCTTTAGAGAACCCAGGACCCAAACCCAGGGAATGGTGCCACCCACTTTCAAGCTGGGTCTTCCCACATCAATTAACATGCCAAGCAAACCTATAGGACAAGCTGTACTGGAAACCCCTCTTTGAGGCACTCTTCCCAGTTGATACTAGATGACTTCAAGTTGACAATTAAAATTAAACTTCACAATGTCTCCTATGGGACACTATGTTTGAATCTCGACTAGTACTCTGTATGGTTCTTTTAATATCTAAGAGATTAAGTTCCAAAAACTATAAGAAAACTTGAATATTAACCATTTAATAATTTCTAGCCTTTGGGATTTTGAAATAAGTATTAGTCAATGAAAAGAACAGACATATATCTTCCATTTTATTTTTACTAGTAAAGGCCTTTCTAAAAAACAAATCTACCAGCTGCTTACTAATATTACATTCCAAAAGAATTATCATCAGAAAAACTGAAATGTCAAAAGCAGGTATTTGAATTGGACAAGTTAAGCTTTGTGAAAAATCACCATATTTCCACCCTTACTATTTTCTCTCAGAGAAGTAGAAACAGTGAGTAATACAGTGCTAGGCCTGGGACTGAGGCTAATGACATTTCCTGTTTATGGTCAATTCTGTTTTGTCACATAAATATGACAGCAAGATTTATATGAGCTTAATGATTACCACCTTGACTACATGATTTTTCCCTCACTTTCCCTGTGATATTTTTTTCTCAATTTCAGCCTGTCACAAACTTTAGCTCATACACACCACCTCCTTTTCCTTCTACTAAATAAAGAGTAGTTATTTCTATACCTATTCCATTTTTCTGAAAAATGTTATGCTCACCCTGTCTAATAGCTAGAAGAGATCCTTTCTATCATAAGCAAGAAGAGAAAACTTAAGGATACAGCAATTTATTCACTATGGCACTGTTAGTGCTTGTGAGTTTGTGAACAGTGACAGTTGGTTGCTTACTGAGGTTGTGGGGACCACTCACAGTGCTCGATGGCTATATATATTATCTTGTCAACCTTGAATAGTTCTGAGAGGTAGAACATTTCCTTACTTCAGGTGTGTGTGTGTGTGTGTGTGTAAATGAAGGTTCAACTGATAGTCAATTTCTCATGCACATAACTACTAAATGGCAACACAGCCAGAGACACTTTCCCTCAAAGCCTATTTTTTGTGTTCTTTATCTTACAAGAGTATATGAGGGTGGGTGAAATCCTTGAATAGGAGTTGAAAGACCTCCATTTATACTTCTGAATTTGTTGGATTTGACTTTGTGATACTGAGTAATGTTTTTAAACTATTTTAACCCTCAGTCATCTAGAATGTAAAACTAACACAATTATGATGAATGCAACAGTAATTGAATACAGTCATATATGGGGAAGATGCTTGGTAAATTCCAATATATAATTGTGCTACTTGTTTCCAGTTTTTATTTATTGTCTTCCACACATCTCATAAATATACTTTCCTGACTGATAGCAAAGGTAAGAATAGTATATATAAAAACATATATTTACATAATACATATAAATGTCCTTATAATAACCTGATGTCAGTAAACAAGGCAATAGAGTGCATACCACGTTTCAGGCTCTAGTAACAGCTTACATCTAAAGAAAAACATCAAGTGGGTTATATGTGTCCTTCTCAGTTTTCCACTAGAAGGGAAACAGGCAGATAAAGGCAAATGCCAGTAGAAAGTATGTTATTTCATCCTCAAAGACTGGCTGTCCTTCCAGACAAGTGGAAACACACCAGTTACCACAATGGATGCTAGGACTAGACAGGACCAATGATATTCCCTGTGTTTATGGCCACATTCCACCTGTCACATACAGTGCTACTGCAAACCATACATGGAAGAGCCCTGTGCATCTGGCAGATCAGAATGACTGTCTATGAACAGCTGAAGAAGAAGGCATCTGTGACTGTCGTTATTCTCTTCTGATGTACACCTGGATGGTGTTTAACGCATCACTGCCA